TAATAAAGGCTTTTTAAGTGATTGTTGTTAGGTGCTGTCGAGTCATGTACGACTCACAGAAACCCTATGACCAACATATCTGAACCCTGTCCTGTCTTGTTCCGTCCTCATACTTTCTGGTACGTGAGAGTCTGCTGCAGAAGTCATGATGTCAGTCCACCTGGCTGAGGGTCTTCCTCTCCTTTGCTGACCCTCCACTCTTCCCAGCATCATGTCCCTCTCCCAGGAATAGCCCCTCCTAGCCACATGCCCAAATTACGTGAGGTGAAGCCTCATCATTCTTGCCTCCAAAGAGCACTCTGAATGCACCCTTTCCAAGATATATCTGTTCGTTCTCTCAGCTGTCCACGGGATGTTCAGCATTCTTCTCCAACACCACAGCTCTTCTGTCATCCCTATTCATTGCCCTGCTCTCAGGTGAGTACTGACCATGGCCTCAATCGTCTGATTCACCTTAGTCCTCAAGTTGACAATCATTATTCTGTAATAATTTAAAGTGGTCCCTAACTATAGAGTTTCTCAGTGTGGACATGGAATTTTAGGAAGTCAGGAAAACATAAAGTGTGAAAAAGAAAAGAAATACCTCTTCCCTACAAAAATTTCCTGTATTTGTAGTTTTCATGGAGAGATGGATCAACTGACGGATGGACAGATGGATGGATGGATGGGTGGATGGAGAGAGAGTTGTTAAGTATCATTAAGTTCACTATGACCCCCAGCGGCCCTAGATCTCCACCTGCCCTATCCTGTATCACAATCTCCATCATGTTCAAACCCAAATCCACTGTTGTAGTCAAATATATATGTGCATGTCAAAGGGTGAAAACAAGTTGCTCCTAGGAGGCAAGGATTTTGAGACACCCCCACTGCCAGGAGGGACCAGTCTTTGGAGAAGGCTGTCATGCTTGGAAGGGTCAAGGGTCAGAGCAGGAGAGGAAGACTCTGGATGAAATGGATTGACAGAGTGACCGGAGTAATTACAGGGTAGGTATGACAGTGAGATTGGTTCAGTAGAGAGCAGGGATCAGAGCTATAGTGCACAGAATCCTTACAAATTGTAGTGAACTCGATGGTATATTAAAACAACAATGTGTATTATATATACACACATGAATTATAGTTATAATATAGAAACACACTATAGGAACATATGCATATTTCACTGCTTTTGGTAAACACACAGCAAATCAGGTTCCCCTTTAAAAATGTCTATGTAAATTGTTCAGGGACATTAGTTGCCCTTTTTTCATGATGACTCAACATTCTCTTTTATTATATATTACCAACCTCATTTAATGTATATTTTGTAATATAGTAACAAATATAAAAATGACTCAAAAGTTCATTTAAGCACAGATCTCAATCATGGTTCAGAATAAATGCTTTTGTTGTGAGATCTTTGGGTTAATAATGTACAAACATCCTGATTTTCCCTTGCACTTGCGGAGGGAGTCACGTGCTCTGCATTGCAAACTCCCCTGGTGGCCTGATTTAGATACAGGAACACAGTGTGTGCTGATCATGAGACCACGATTCTGTGGTATTGGAGCAGTCTTCCCTCCCAATTATACCCTTATACTTGAAGTGCTACTTTCCCATTAGGATTGATAGAATGTATTTCCATACAGTAAGATCTTGCTTATTAATGGTTTTATGGGCGGTCTTGGATTTCTCACTCATTTGTAAGCAGCTCCTATTAAGAAGCTCAATGAAGCATGGGCACAAGGGCAGAGTAATTTATTAACACATCAAGAGGCTTTAATTTGCTAACATTTTCCTTTCATGTTCGTCTGTCAGAATATAAAGAACAAATTGCTCAAGTAGGACGTAGGAGAGTTGGAAGGGAGCAACATCTACCCCTCAGGGGCTCGGGGGGTGATGCTCACACAGGGCAGGAGTTAGAGCTCACGCTGCTGCAGGGCTCCATCCACCACCTCTTCTCTTTGACCTCCAAGAAGCTAGAAGAGTACGGGAGAGTCACAGGACACGAAGAAACACCACCACCACCAACCAGCTCGTTCTGCGAACTTTGAGGAATGCTTCTCCCTTCCAGCTATGCAGCAAACAGGGATTCTTCACTGTATTGATTTCCTGCGTTCTATGTGGATAAGAAACCTCTCAACACAGGTAAATATTTAATCATTTGCCTTCTGTAATCTGTATTTGTCAGAATGAAGGCCAGATGTTTGTTTAAGGGACATGTGAGCCCAAACGCCTTAGAGAAGTAGGATGCGTGTGCTCCCTGGTGTGCAGTTCTGTTTTTGTTGGAAGGTATGCTGTGAGGTCTGAAATTCTTGGAACCATTTTCCTTCTAACGGATGTAGTATCGTATCTTTGCATCATTATCTGTTGATGATTCAAGTATGTCACACAGTAATCAAAGGCCTGCCTGGCCTGACCTTGGCGAGAGAAGAGGGGGCTCAGCTCCAGCAAAGGTTGATGTGCACCACAGAGTTGGAACTGGCCCATAGCTGACCCTCCAGCAGGTTTTCCGAGTCAGTAAATCACGTGGGATTGATGTATCTACCTATCTGTTTAGCTAGTTAGCTCTCTCCCTGGTGGATTTGAACCTTATGTCTTTGGGTCAGCAGCACAACTCCTTTCCCCTAGGTCACCCAAACTCCTATGACATGTTCAGTAACATATACAATAAGAGCAGCTAAGGTTACCAGTGGCCAAGGGCTGTCAAAGTCTCGTTAAATGATTGTGCTGCTTCATTGTCACAACCACTCTGAGCCTCTCATTGCGGATGACAGGCTGAAGGTCACAGACAGACACAGCTCGGACAAGTGTGGTGCAGCATTTGAGGCCAGGAAGGACCTGCTTCAGAAGTGAGAGAGGTGCTCTGAGCCAAAGCCACCCTGGCATTCTTGTTAGTGGCTGGAGCGTGGTGCCCTCTGACCACCATCTCATTCCAGCACTTCAATCCCACAGGATACTTCTGGAGTGAAGAGCTCAGAAGACAGGCTCTTCAAATCCTGTGGTCAACAGATTACTTCATTTCTTTTTTTTCTCTTCAAATTTCCCTTCTTCTGATAGCCAGTCAGATGACCAGTCTACAGGAGCCACGTGGCCCCCTGGTAAATCATCCTTCAAAGGAAATGAGCAATGCCCAAAAAGTGAACTTCTGAGACAACCTCAAGTTTCCTATAGCCATGTGTTTGTAAAAGAGGGTGCACTGTTTCCAGAAATTACTCTGGAATGGGGCACCTTGAACCCACTAGTCATCCCTGGGTGTCTCAACATCATCACATGCTGACCCTTCCTCTTTCTCTGAAGGGCTCTCACACATCATCATCATCATTGTGTGCTGACCCTTCCTCCTTCTCCGTAGGGCTCTCACACATCATCATCATCTTCATTGTGTGCTGACCCTTCCTCCTTCTCCGTAGGGCTCTCACACATCATCATCATCTTCATTGTGTGCTGACCCTTCCTCCTTCTCTGTAGGGCTCTCACACATCATCATCATCATCGTGTGCTGACCCTCGTTCTCTGTAGGTTTCTCCCTCTGCCTGAGAATCTCATCCCCATGACATGCTCCTGCTCCTAGCACTGTTCCTGCCTTCTCTGGGAAGCCTGCAACCACAAACTGGAACAGAATACACACACATATATGCCTGTGCACCTCATGTAAACCAGGCACTTGCATGACCAAGTGTGAAGGTTAAGAGAGGCCAAGAAGGGGCTCACTATTTCTATAGTCCCCCAATGCAAGGCCTGTCCCATCTCTAGATATGCTCTGGGAGCCAGTTTCCAGCTCATCACCACATCTCAAAACTTCCGTCTACTATGGGTCCCAGCTCATCACCACATGTCAAATACTTAAATCTTCCACGGGTAACCTGCTAATCACCACATCTCAAACACTGCAGTCTTTCTTGGATAACCAGCTCACCATCACACCTCAAACACTTCAGTCTTCTACGGTTAACCATCTCATTACCACATCACAAATACTTCAGTCTTCCATGGGTAACCAGCTCATCACTGCATCTCAAGTCTTCCCCAGGTAACCAGTTGATTATCAAACTTCGAATCCTTCAATCTTCCACCTCAGCATCATCTGGTGACAAACTAAGTGACTAACTGATGTTTGGCTTTTTGCTAACACATCCTCATGATCTACCTTCCCTTGCCATTTTCTGACATCAAACCATCTCATTTCTTTTTAAACAGAGCTTTGATGAAATATTAGACCTTGCTTCTGACTCTATACTTCACCATATGTGTGTGTTTTATGACATTTAATTGAAATTATTTGCAGCTTCTTTATTTTTAAGTATTTTCTAAATATATTTTCATATGTTGTTGCTGGAGTTGTATGATGTTGCGTTGGGAATGACTGACAGCTGAGTGCCCAGCAGTTTGCAGAGGCTGTAAATTGCACGGGAGAAGACTGCTCATCTTTCTCCTGCATGGTCTTTGGTGGATTTGAACCATGGGACTTTGAGTTGGCATACAATAATACTAGGTTCTAGAGGCTTAGTGGTAAGCATTTGGGCTAGCAAGTCAAAGTCAGGTGGTTCAAACCCGCTAGCTGCTGTCTGGGAGAAGGCTGGGTAATCTCTTCCTTGGAGATTTACTGCCTCTGAAAACCTTCCCGAGGGTCCGGCTGTGTGTCAACTCCAATTCCCCAGTGAACAACAACAGGCCACCAGAGCTCCCTACATATCCATACAATGATACTAATTTTACAGCTGCCATGTTAAGCAACCTCATCAGCTGACGACAGTTGTAGAAATGATGCTCTAGCAGAGTACCTAACTGTCAGAGCCTCGGCTGTCTGAGCGCCTTCCCCGCCAACTGTTCTTCCCCGAACACTCACTCCCCTCGGCATGAGCTGCATGACCTTGGCCTCGGAGCGGATCCCTGTGTTAAGAACTGCTGAGGTGGAGGCACCAGCTATAGAACAGACACGTGGATAGATCCATGCTGGGAGCAACACTCCTGGACTGTGGTCTGAGGAAGGGAGCGGACTAAGGGTCTACACACGCTACCTTTGACAGGTCTCTGAAGTTTCCTGGGAGCGTCAGGTCCAGTTCCTCAGATTCATAGTTGGTTAACACCCAAGGAAAGACGGGGTACTGGTTCAGGTCATTGTATGTCCGTCCTGGCAAAGAGACATGAAAAATGTATACGTATTAACTGGTTAGGAAATAACTCCTACTCTTACAATACATGAGGCTAATTCCACTATTTCACAGCAGACAGAAAGCCCAGGCCCACTCAACATAGTGCATTTTGCTTTACCGCACATTTTACAAGCAGGTGTGTAATGGGTAGGTGGTTCATGGGAGTGGAGGGCACCACCATGTCCCACAGCAGGTGTGTACTCATGTCTCCATGATACACGGTGGGAATTCTCAGAATGCATACACTCTGTGCATCACAACTCCATCAGGTGGAAACGTGACTTCTATATGAATCAGGGAGAAAACACATGTGTGGCTCACTTTCCATAACATTTGATTTCTTGTGGGGACTTAGAACTGATTGCAGTGCCGCCCAAGTCTGCCTGGGACTCTTTTGTTTATTGAATTTTGCTTAATCAAAACCACTTTTGTATCAAAGAGTTTCAAGTAAATTTACTCAGTAACAACTAAGAAATGAGCAACCAGAATGACTTTTCAAACGGGGTGATATGGCAGAGCCTGCTTGCGGGCTGTGAGTCAGAGCTGGTTTTTCTGCTCTCTGAGCATGGCGGCATTTCTCAGCCTCCTTCACCGGGAGCCATGGGGCCATGCTCTCAGCCACAGAGTCTCTGGTTCATTCACAAAGCTCCCCTGCACAGTAGCTGCCCTGCCCACATGTCCTCTGCCGACTGGTGAGTGAGAAGCTACCACTCTGGAGGAAAGCTGCAGAGTCTGGGGTCATTGCACAATAGCAAGGAGGAGATGGCTCTGTGGACCTGAGCCCCTGTGGGTCATGGGGCTGGACCTGAGCCCCTGTGGGTCATGGGGGTGGACCTGTGGACCTGAGCCCCGTGGGTCATGGCGGCGGACCTGTGGACCTGAGCCCCCATGGGTCATGGGGGTGGGCCTGAGCCCCTGTGGGTCATGGAGTCCTTGTGGGTCATGGGGGTGGACCTGAGCTCTCGCGGGTCATGGAGGTGGCTCTGTGGACCTGAGCCCTCGTGGGTCATGGGGGATGGACCTGAGCTCTCGTGGGTCATGGAGGTGGCTCTGTGGACCTGAGCCCCTTAGAGATGTTGGAAGAGCATCCTATAATCATGTATCTAGAAAAAGCTCTTCCTGGAACATGACATGGGAGCTTCAATCCAGAACTGATACAGAGAACTTGCAAGTTAAAAGACCTGTAAGGAAATCTGTGGCAGAAGATGCCGAATCAGCATTCCTTGGGATTTCTGAGTTTGTGGACTGCTGTTGTCCACAGGCTATGAACTAGATCTCTTCCTGACCAGGACTTCATGTGGAATTTGTAGGTGAGCTGGAACTGGTGCAAAGGGACCTGGCGATGTCGTGTGTAATTCGTGGGGTAGTAACGTAAAGGTCAGTGCTTCAGACGTAGCAGCTCCTGGGGGTGAGGAATGGGGTGTCCTCCCTTAAGGACGTTTGGTCTCAGAAACCCAGTGCAACATCGCCATGATGGGGACAGACTCCAGGGCAGAGGGAGAAAGGGCTAGAACAGCACCTGAAAAGCCTCAAGCATTCAAAAGCCGCATGTGCAACAAGTGAAGGTAATTGTGATGCAGAATTTGAGGTGAGCAGAGGTGGTTCAGTCCTGTCAAAGGGAGGGCAGATTTACACATGGAAGGGCAGGTGGGCACTGTCCCTGAATGCAGAATCGGGGGACTGCGCCTGAGTTTTACTTCAACGAAGAGATACTGAGCCACATTTTTAAAGTGGTCTCGTACTGTGATTCTGTGAAGGTTTATCTACACAGCCCAGGAGCTGACACCATGTGATGGTGATGTGTTCTAATCAGGAACTAGCATCAGGACTTCAAAAAGCGAAAGAATTCCAAAGCAAGAGGCGTTAGGCAATGATGTCATTATGTACTCATTTACCAATTAGTATTTTTTTCTTACTTTCAAACAATTAAAATTTAGCAAATAAACTTGTGTTGCAATTGGTAGGGCTCTCTCCTCTTTTCTGCACAGGTGTGTGCACACACACATATATTCATCTCTGCAGAAGAAGCTTCATCTTGGAAGGAAAGTAGTAACCATTGCAAGTCAATTACACTAACCTGCTAGAACAATGGAAGTGGAGCCCAATAAATGAGCCTTCAGATACACTGCCTGTGTTTCTTCATTAAACACACACACACACATACAAACCCCCCCCCAACTTTTTAATTAAACCATCCAATTTCATGTTTTTCTATGGCACTTTAGTTTTGAAGGTAAAGCGATCTAGAGACAGCTGACAAAGAAATTATAACTGCAATTCCTTGGTGAAAATGTTAATGACAGCAAAATATTGTTTAATTAGATGATTGCAGCATCTGGGCTAACACTCTTAAGGGCAGCGTCTCTGTACTCATCTGCTTCTTCACACTTTACAGACATTTTGTCATCTCTAGGTCATTAGGAAAGAATTTTTAATGATTTTTCGAGAAGCAAGCAGTTCAAGTTACATCTAATTAGATGACAATAATAAGCCCAACACTTGCAGCAGCTAAATATATACATAATTAACCAGGGAGGGCTTGTACATCACAGAGGAAAAACGTGAAAAATGCTAAACAGGAGAAAAAGGTTGGGGCTGGGGAAAGTGGTGCTGAATTCATTAGCTCTCCACCGACAAACATCTCTGAATCCTCCGGCACAAAGAAAAACTTCCCCGGCTGACAGGAGATCATTTACACGATGCTACATTAGCAATTGCTGTGCAGCTTTTCGAGAATGTAAGAATGGCAGATTTTAACATCTTTCTCATCATGTTATCTGATCAGCTGTAAAGAAGTACAGGGACCCCAAAGCTTGTCAGGCCTGAGATCGAGAGGTGGAAACACACTTTCATGGAACTGAGGCATCCTGAAAAGTCTTCTACATAATCTTTTGAAATGTGAGGGTCCTTAAAAACTTACTGTAAACATTTAAAGCATAACTCAAATAAATTGTGCTATAGTGCTAAGTTGGAATTTTAACACAGAGCTAACAATCAGAGTTTTCATGACTTTAATAAAATGGAAAGTGCAGAAAGGCATCTGTGTAAGAGCATGGCACCCCAGGACATGTATAGCTAGACTGACCAATGCCCAGTGGTTAAGGACAGGTCAGCGGTTTGAACCCATGAGCTACTCCAGGAGACACAGGAGGTAACCTTCTTGTGTAGGGATGCACGGCCTTGGAAACCAGGGCTTTCTCACCTCTGCAGTGGGAACCAACTTGCTGCAGTGTGTGTGTGTGTGTGTGTGTGTGTGTGTGTGTGTGTGTGATTATGAATGGCTTAGAACTAACATCAATCACACCTTTCCTTATTTCCAATTTTCATTATTAGGTATTTATTAAATCCTTAAACAGAACAAATTAAAGGCTATGAAAACATTTACCTAATTTAAAACTGCATGGTTCAAAACTGGGAAGGGCGTACGCCAGGGATGCAACCTATCTCCATACCTTTTCAACATATATGCAGAACAGATTATCCAGGACGCTGGGCTCTATGAGGAGAAATGTGGGGTCAAGATTGGTGGACAATTTATCAACAACCTGCGTTATGCGGATGACACAACCCTGCTTCCTGAAAATGAAGAGGACCTGAAGCACCTGCTGCAGAGGGTCAAGGACTGCAGCCTACAATATGGATTGAGGCTCAATGTCAAGAAGGCAAAGATTTTCACCACTGGACCAGCTGGCAGCATCACGATGGATGGTGAAGAGATTGAGATTGTACACAGCTTTAGTTTGCGTGGCTCCACAGTCAATAGTCTTGGCACCAGCAGCCAGGAAATTAAAAGGCACATTGCCATGGGAAAGTCTGCTGTTAGGGACCTCTCCAAAGTACTGAAGAGCAATGGTGTCTCTCTGGAGACTAAGGTGCGTCTGATGCAGGCCATGGTCTTCGCAATCACCTGTTATGCATCAGAGAGTTGGACAATGACCAAGGAGGATAGAAGGAGAATTGATGCCTTTGAGCTGTGGTGCTGGAGAAGAGTATTGAGAATACCATGGACTGCTAGGAAAACAAACAGATTTGTCCTGGAAAGGGTTAAACCAGGTGGCTCTTTGGAGGCAAGGATTCTGAGGCTCCATCTAACATACTTTGGACATGTGAGGAGAGACCGGTCCTTGGAGAAGGACATCATGCTTGGGAGGGTGGAGGGACAGCGCAGGAGAGGAAGGCCCTCTATAAGGTGGATTGATTCAGTGACTGGGATAATCGGGATGGGTGTATTGGAGACAGTGAGATTGGCACAGGACAGAGCAGAGTTTAGGGCTGTTGTACATAGGGTTGCTATGAGTTGCAAGTGACTCGATGGCACATAGCAACAACAACAACGTACATACATACAGACTTGTTATGTGCCATCAAGTCATCTGCAATGCACAGCAACCCTGTGTACAACAGTTCTGAAGCCTGCCCTGTCCTGAGCCAGTCTCACCGACTCCAATATACCTATTCCCATTGCCCTAGTTACTGCCTCAATCCATCTCATCAGGGGTCTTCCTCTCCTGCACTGTCCCTTCACCCTTCCTAGCATAATGTCCTTCTCCAAGGATCAGTCTCTCCTGGCTACATGCCCAACGTATGTGAGACAGAACTTCAAAATCCTAGCCTCCAAGGAAAAACTTGGTTTCACCCTCTCCAGGACAGACCTATTTGTTTTCTTGGAGGTCCATGGTATATTCAAGACTGTTCTCTCTAGCACCAGAACTCAAAGGCATCAATTCTTCTGTCATCCTTAGCTACTGTCCAGTTCTCTGAGGCATAGCAAGTAATTGTAAAGACCATAGACAGGATCAGGCACACCCTAATCTCTAGACTGACATTTTTGCTTCTCAGTACTCTGGAGAACGCTGATAGCCGATTTATCTAATGCAATTTGTCTTCTGATTTCCTGACTGTTGGTGCCAAGAGTGTCAAATGTGGAGCTGAGCAAGCTGTCACTGTGAACAATCTCAATCTCTTCTCCAGCCATCAT